AGCACCTCAGAGCTGCGCACCCGGGGGCTCCCAGCTACCTACATGGGAAGAAAGAGGAGAGATTTGGGGTGCGGTGGCAGGTGATATAGGGGAAGGGGGTCCGCGGGGGGGAGGAGGAGGAGGAGGAGGAAGAAGGCGGCCCACTGTCAGCTGTCTTTATGAAAGGACAGTGCAGACGACCTGCCGAGAGAAAGACAGACAGACAGACGGACGGAGAGAGAGAGAGCAAAGAGATGGGTCAGTCCCTGCTCAGCGTGGTCATGGCGGGGCTGGAGCACCAGGGCACTGGGACGGGAGGACAGCGGGATGGGAGGCAGCACTGACAGCGGGACAGGAGGATGGTGGGACAGGAGGACGGAAAGACAGCAGAACAGAAAGACAGGAGGCAGCATTAAGTGGCCAGGTGGGGAGAGAGGCCAGACACGGCCATGGGGCCAACTATCTGCTCAGGCACAGCACAGCCCCACAGCATGAACCCACGGCACAACCCACGGCACGGCTCCACGGCTTGGCCACAACACACAGCCCACAGCACGACCCACGGCACGGCCCCACAGCGTTGCCCCGAGGCACGGCCCCACAGCACAGCCCATGGCATGACCCATGGCATGACCCCCACAGCAAGAAGACATATTACAGCCCCACGGCACAGCCCCACGGCACAGCCCCATGGCACAGCACCCCAGCATGAGCCCCAGTGCAGCCCCAGGACGTGGCCCCACGGCTGGAGGTGCCCCCCAGGACAGCCAGCCCCTGCCCTAGAGCCACAAAGAGAGTCCCAGGGCTGGACCCCAGACTGTGGGGCAGCCCAGCTTCCCCGTGGGGCACCCCCTGCCCGGCCACCCCCGCCCCATGGCTGGCCCTCCGCAGGGACAGCCCCACTGCCATGGCCGGAGAGCTGTTGGCATCACTCTGACCCAAAAGCAGGGTGTCCTGCACCGCCACAGGCACCCACCCTGGCAGTGGGGACCCTGGAGTGGGCACGCCATGGGGTGCCCCACACCTGCCCCACTCACTCCTGCCCCTTTTAGCTGATCCCATGGGAAGCGTTGCCTTCCCAAGCCATACCCCGGACCCCCGGCTGCCACCTCAGACGCACCCTGACCACGCTGCCACGCTGGCTGCTGGCATGGTGCTGTGAAGGGTGGGCGGACAACACCCGAGCAAGCACGGAGCGGGACACACCCCGCCTTGCACAAGACCCCCCCGGCACCCAGCCCCTGCCAAGCTGCCCCGGCGGCACGGGCCACAAGGTGCGGTGGTGGTCATGGCGGCGGCAGTGGTGGCGCGGCAGAGCAGGACGACCCCCTGCCATCCTCGTGTCCCCGGCACCCACCGTCATGGCACCGGGGCTGGCAGAGGGGACACCGCCTCCCCACGTTACAGCCCTGGTGTCCCCAGATCCTGCTGTGACCCGCGGGGAGCCCCAGCGGTGCCGCACTCACCTGCTCCGCAGCCCACAGACCCCCC